CTGCCAATGGAATACAAAGTCAATAATTCGTTTTTCTGATTTACCAATCATTGTCCAAAAGTCAGATTGCCGGCTTTGATAATAGTCGACTCAGATATATGTTTTCTTTTTTTTTATAAGTTGTTTTTATATCTATCAACTCCAATTGTCTAAAAGGCTATTCCAGCTACGCCCGGACCGGTAGGTGAGCTGACGGGCTTAACCTGAGAGAATTTATTAACACTACCACCGGAACGGAATCGGAAAATCCTACGGGAAACGCCGTGGGCTTACCGGCAGTCCTTGTCCGTACGGACGCAGCGTCCGAACAGTGTGCTTAGTGCAGCGGTCGGGGAACCGGGGTAAATTACCCCAAATGGGGTAATATGAACTTTTTGTCAGTAAAAAGAATTTTATAATTTGAAGTGAAACTTCTTTAGAATCGTTTTGATTTCAAACTGGATGAAACGAAATGAAATGAAACGAAAAAATAATTATTTTTTTTTCCAAATTATCCTGGGGGCTATTAGGTATATGAAAGATGCTGAAAAGAAGCGATTTCGTTTTTTTTTGTTTTTCGCCATGGGGTAATGTCAACTAACACAAAAATATTTTATGGTAATAATTTAAAAAATTCCCCGACCGCTGGGCTCAGTGCGAGTTTTTTAACGTTCTCGATAGCGTTAAAGTTACCTGAAATTTGTATGCAGCTGGAACAGTGCCCCTAGCGACAAACGTAGATAGACGTTCCAACTCCCTACAAATTTGATTTAACTTTTACGCTATCGAGAACGTTAAAAAACTCGCACCAAGCACACTGTACTGCCGCGAACCGGATAATAGATTTTACGGTGGCTATATTTGAATACACTTAACACACCAGGCGGCCTGTATTTTTCCAAACCAAAAATATAATTTACCATTATATATCCAAGTAAAAGTAGATGATAATCCATTCGAAAATGAATATGTGTTGGTGGGCGTTTTGTTTAGTGCTCAAACGAATCAATAACGTAACTGTCGCTACCCACCCTGAGACATGAATTCTAAGTTTCAATTATATAGTAAATTATCCTCGGGAACTCAAAACGCATTACTGTTTGGCGGCAAAAAAGTGCGGTAGATACCGCCGGACTCGCAAAACGCCCTTTCACCTATATGTGTATATAAAAATATGTCCCTAATTCATAAAAACGAATAAATTAAAATCATTTATCTACGTGTAATCTACATACATATATTGTTATTGTCCTATTGTATATTAGTTAGGATTAAAAAGAAATTGTGCCTGTATTTTATTAAGATGCATATCTGCTTAAATACGTTTCACTGTGTAATGTTAGTGTTGGAAAGTGAACCTAAATATGATAATTATCGCTGTTGTTGTCCCCTTTTATACTAATCGCATTGTTTCATTTCATTGTGCCTAAAATAATTAGAAATGTAAAAGTAATCCATTTTGTGTTAATCTTTCTTACTGATATCATTTTGAAGGTTGTAATTTACATTACACACTTCTGTGACTTTTATACTTAAAATTAAATAAAACATATTTCTTCATCAAATACGTTTATTATTTGGAATGTTATTAATTGTATAAGAATATATTTATTTATTTATTTTCATCTTGAAGTTTATTCTACAGCAGATAGCATAGAAAATACATATTGTTACAATTTGTTTATCAAAGGTGTGATTTTTTTATATTAAATACAAAATAGAATGTAGTTTTTAATTAACCAACGATAATGTCATTATTTTGATTTATTTCAACATTTACACGACTGTGATATGAGGCCTATAAAATCAAAGGCAGCTAAACGCCGTAGTGTAGTAAAATGGATTAACTATGGCGCTATCTTGTTTAGTTAGTTGGACACGCTTTAGTATTTTCATGTTATTATAACATATGCAGCTAGCTATATCTCTAGCAAATTCAGTTCAAAAATTTAATTTTTACTCTGTATTCAATATAAACGAAGTTTTTATCATTTAAAATTCAGATTATAATTAGTAATATTCTCATTCTTTATAAATCTGCTTTAAAATAAGGAATATCGTAGCTACCTGAACAAAGCTATTTCAGTTTCAGCGGTAGGCAACGGCTTGGCTCTGCCCTTGGCATTGCTGAAGTCCATGGGCGACGGTAACCACTCACCATCAGGTGGGCCGTATGCTCGTCTGCCTACAAAGGCAATAAAAAAAAAACTCAAGCCGGGAGTGTTGCTTACACTTATTTAGCAAGAGCAGTACTTCGATGATTCGATGGATCAGGAGGATTCGTAATGACGTGTTTAGGGCCGATTTTTGTAGTTTACCTGTAGCCTTTGATTTTATAGGACTCGTATATTAACACCATCGTTTTTCCTTATGTGTTATGTGATTCCCAGAGTTTATTGTTAAATTCAATGCCATAAGACATGATATGGAGTAGTCTCAGTGGTATTTAAACGGCTATCCTTTCAGACCGGAGCGCGTAAGTTCTTNGATTCGTAATGACGTGTTTAGGGCCGATTTTTGTAGTTTACCTGTAGCCTTTGATTTTATAGGACTCGTATATTAACACCATCGTTTTTCCTTATGTGTTATGTGATTCCCAGAGTTTATTGTTAAATTCAATGCCATAAGACATGATATGGAGTAGTCTCAGTGGTATTTAAACGGCTATCCTTTCAGACCGGAGCGCCTAAGTTCTTTGCTGTAAAAAAAATCTAGAAGGATGTGCTAGTTGTGCGCCCTACCATCTACCAGAATCGCGGCCTAAAGGATAAGACTCCCAGTGCACTCGTATCGTATCCAGCGACGCAACTATGCCAATATTCGAATCCCGCAGGCAGGTATCAATTTTTATAATGAAATGCGTACGTAACAAGTGTTCACGAATGACTTTCACGATAAATTAATAAAATCGTTCAATGAAAATAAAACCCAAAAAAATATAATTAGAGCAATTACTGAAGGCAGGACGTCTTGAGATCCCGCACTGGTAGCTACCACTATCCTGCCTATTTCTGCCGTGAAGAAGTAATCCGTTTCGGTTTAAAGGGTCGGGCAGTCTTGGTACATTAAAATTGAGACTTAAAACTTATATGTGAAGGTGCTTGATGGCATTTACGTTTTGGATATTTAAGAGCTTCGATGACCACTCAACACCAGGTGAATTTTGAACTCGTTCATCCATCTAAGAAGTAAAACCCATCAGATCAAGGGTGAGAAAAAAACAAGAGATTTTGAGAAGCAACAAGGATGCGACTGGATTGATTATCTTATTTGTTAGTGGATAATCTCTGATAGAACGTGTAATTGCTGTTGATGGTACTGCTATGTATGACGGCGAAGTAACAGTAGATAGCATAACCGTTTCAAAAAGTTCAACATATTAATCAAGTATTTACGCTGCATTCAATTCTTTTGTGACTTTGTAAAAACTATTCAATCATTGGGATCACTAAAATTTGATAGGCTATAGAAAAAGCAACAATTCGACGTTCATTGGATAATATTATAGATGAGTCGTCTATTATCAAAGGCGGCAATCTGTACATTTGGACAAAAAATTTTTATTGATATGTCAATGCAGATTTATTTGAATATAATCGTCTCCTTCAAAGAATACGGTTCAAAACCTGCATTAAATAAAGGTTAATAGTTAACCTGTTATTTATCTAAGATGTCGTTCCGAAGAGTTTTGTGACTGCCAATGGAATACAAAGTCAATAATTCGTTTTTCTGATTTACCAATCATTGTCCAAAAGTCAGATTGCCGCCTTTGATAATAGTCGANTATAATCGTCTCCTTCAAAGAATACGGTTCAAAACCTGCATTAAATAAAGGTTAATAGTTAACCTGTTATTTATCTAAGATGTCGTTCCGAAGAGTTTTGTGACTGCCAATGGAATACAAAGTCAATAATTCGTTTTTCTGATTTACCAATCATTGTCCAAAAGTCAGATTGCCGCCTTTGATAATAGTCGACTCAGATAACAGTAGACATTAAAGACATTAAAACATGATTAAAACAAAATAAATAATCATAAAAAGAGATTTCATTAAAAACTGGCTCTTTCTTAAATTCTATGCGAAACGGAAAGTACATTGAGAGCCATGAACAAGTGTTGCCTAAAATTTAAATTCCCCCGCTTCTTACGATAAACTTTGGAAAATTACAGCTGAAATTTAAATCTAGTTTGAACTGTTCTATCCAAAGTGGAGTAATATTCTTGATCTCTTTGAAGCAAACCTTCCACGGACCAAGTCTAGTTAATTAACTCACGAGCTTTGACGCTTAGCATCACTCAGCAAAAACTAGTTACACTTACATAGCCCTAAAAATATTTCTTTAAATACACAATTACCATAACTTCTTTCTTGTCCGCTTCTATTAAGTAATGATGAATCATTTGAACTATAGTAATAATATCTATGAACACCAGCAACTAGCCAATACCAGTGGAGAAGTCATCTTATGTGTCCACCTACACACAGGTTCAGAAAATTAAATTTCATGAAAATGAATTGTTTGTATAAACCAAAAAAACAAAATAATATTGTATGTTGTATGTTGTTGACTCATATTAAAATATAATTGAGAGAAATGCGCTCGTAAAATAATAATCGGTTTGAATTGTACAAAATGTACTCTGAATTAAAATCAGCGCACGTAAGAACATGATAGTCTCAAGAGGGGCAACTGTCGCTTTCGTCTATAAAATTCTGGGTTTTATAAATTTAAATTTACTTTAAAATCACAGTTATTTAAATTTATGCTTGATTTAATAACTGAATTGTTTTTTGTTTAAGATAGAAAAATAGTTTAAACAACTTCAATTTCAAAAAGAATTTCGTTACACACTATATTATGTGACACAAAAGTGACAAAAAATTGTAATCATTCAAGACTAACATCATACCACTAAGACCTAAGATACATTAAGACAATTTTTACTTTTTTATTGGCAAGAAAATCTACATACGTCAGAAAAGTGTGACTTTCCGACTATAGCAATCTGGCAACATTTTATTCAGTGATGGCCGATGTTTCAAGTTGTGCGGAGTGAATAAAGCTTTGCCAAATTTGTGTTAATTCACAAATTTAGTTAAATTCGTTACCTTTGAAGTGTTGAATAATTATCATTGAAACATTATATTCAAATTTGTGAATTTATTGGTGACTAAATTGTAAGTGTTGTTCGATGTTGAATGTTTGTTGTGTCGCTGTAATAGGATCGGTGTAAAATAAAATATTGGATTACTGATCAGGGTTTAATTGATCGTTGTGAATTATCGGTAAGTACATAAACTACTTTTTCATAGTCACATTAGTTTTATCGGACGAAAATCACCGGTATTTGATGCCACGAAAGCTGAACGTTACTGCAAAACTACCTGTACAGAGATAACGGCAAATACTGTAGATTGCGATGAATTTTGATAACGTTTAGCGCCTCACGAACAAAATTATGTTATCATAGTTTCCTAATAAAATTCATTTTACACTATTGACATTAACACTGGAGTTACCAATCTCAATGTCTAAGAATGTTCCATGCTCTATTTCCCACTGAAAAGTTTGATATAAATTGAGAAACCGTAGTGAGAGGTATTTACGTACTCGCTACCTCACATTCCATTACAGTTCTGATGAATAAAAATTCCATAGTGGAATATTCTAACAGTTATACAACAAAAGTACTTAATTTTCTTTTTTTTATATTCAAAAAAGCATTTAGTTACTTTTAAACAGAAATAACTTTAGGTTTAATACTAAAACTATAATAGTGTCTGTCTAGAGTTCTTATTGGAAAATATGAGACATATCAATGTTAATGGGCTTTATTAATTTCCACCAGGAAAGACAATTGTACTCATTGAATTTCTAAATAATCAATCTGGGTCTTTATTCAAAATTATATGAATATGAATAGTGCTAACCATATTGAAATATAACATTACAGTCTCATTTGTATTGCACACAGGAACTCTCTCCTGAGTAAACTGAAATGCATTATTTCTTCCCAGAACAAATAGGTAGTATGATGTTATCCATCTGCAGGCTACCAACACAACAACACATAATTCAGTTTAATAAAAAAAGTTGAGAATACTGATCCTAAGGATAAAAGAAAATGTACTGGTACTAGTACATTACTGCAGGTGGCCAGTGTCACTTACCTGTGTTCTTTGAGTAGTAATTATAAAATCTTATGTACTCTTAAGTTATTTGCTTACTTAAAAATGATTGCCCTTGGCTGTGAAAAACTAGATTTTTTGTTATCTCAGGATTTCCAGATAAAGTCAATAAATAAACTTTAATAGTTTAGAAAATGAAATCAAACCAGGTAGTTTTTGCATCAAAAATGCAAAAATATAATACATCTAAGTACTGAATTAATAAAATTAAAAATATTATAATAAAAAAAGACTAAATATCGTTTTTGTGATTGTTTCCAATAAATATACAATTTTGGTTTGCAGATTAATTGTTTTGTAAATAAAACCATAGTTTTTATTTATTAAGTGTTAGTTGCAGTTGAAGTAATACAACTTGTGCATTATCATAACTGCATATACCATCTCATTTTTGTAAAATAAATGTGAAATTATTCAAGTGTGATAAAAATGATCCCTGGTGAGCATACTGTTATGTCCATTTCTAAATGAATGTGCATAATAATTTAAATATACTGCTATTTTTTACCAGTAGGAGATCAACCCTATGGAAAGTAAAATTAGTCCCTTGTAAGCAGTGGCAAGAAAAAATAACTGTTAGTAACATTTAACCAACAGCCTTATTTTAGAAGAAGGCAACAGATTAGCTGTGCTCCCAGTATTGCTGACGGTCATTAGCGATGGTGACTATTTATCATCAGGTGGGCCATATGACCGTCTGCCAACATAGAAAATAAATAAAAAAAGCATAAAATTGTTAAGAAATTGTAAAAAGATATTTAAGTGTAATTTTAGTAATTTTAGCTAATAAAAGTGTTGAATATGTGCATTATTCAACCCAACACAAATAGGACATAAGAATATGTGACCTACTTAACAAAAGTTTAGAATCCCAGAAATATGTGGGAATCCTATTGATAATGGATATACAAAGGGAAATTAAAAAAAAAACTTATCACATGTTGCAAAGAGCTCAACGCAACATTACTTAAGTAGCAACCTTGTAACCATCTGGATGTTAATTCTCTGTAATGTTTGCATATTAATTTGTGTGTTTAGCCAAGCATTAGTTACGGTTTGGAAAAGTTTAAGGAAACATGACTGAGTAGAGTATACCAATAACAATAATTGCGACTAAAATTAAAGATAAACGTGTAACATAAAATGTCTAATTCGTCGATATTGTTTTTACTGTTTTATTAATTTTGTCATTATTCATAAGATCGCCGATAATACAATAACGTAAATTTACTAGAGATATCACTATAGAAAACATTTTGAAATATATTGAAGGATATGCTGCTAATATTAAAAAAAACTATGTATCTTTGCCTATATATAAATACGCAAATAAACCTTTCGCCTACTAAAATAATAAACTTATTTATTTTTCAACTTCTTAAAAAGTAAGTGAAATTGTGAGATAATCATAGAAATTTCAATAATTATGATTTAAAAAAAATTGCTCTGCTCATTAATATTCATTAAAGTATGATTAATAAAATTATGCCCCTCATATTGGTGAGGTTTAAATGCACTAGCACAAAACCTAATTCATAAAATGTACTGGTAATAGTACATTACTGCAGGTGGCCAGTGTCATTTAAGTACCTGTGTTCTTTGAGTAGTAATTATAAGATCTTAAGAACTCCTAAGTTATCTGCTTACTTAAAAATGATTGCCCTTGGCTGTGAAAAACTATAGATTTTTTGTTATCTCAGGATTCCCAAATAAAGTCGATAAATAAACTTTAATAAAATAGTTAAAAAAATGAAGTCAAACCAGATAGTTTTTATCACGAGCAAAATTAAATTGAAGCATAATGTTCAGTTCTCGATAAACTCGAATCCCTGTTATAAGTTGGGTCATTTATGCCAACAGCGTACCGTAGGCGATAGCTTCGCCATTAATCCATCTGAGATTAAGGTATTACAGGAATTTTGGAATCGGAAATTGGACCGATTCGCGTGGAACGGACTTTGCAAGGTCGCTGGCTGCCTGTCACTTGTTCGCTTACTTGTATGCTTAGTATGCGTAATGTACACTTTAATATTAGGTACATAATAACAAAACACCACTCTATTAATATACCTATTACCTAAAGACAAGTAAAAAACAAATTATAAAAATGATATCGTATATTTTCGGTGCAAAACAAAAATAAAACACGATTTAATTTAAAAAAAAATAATACGATCGTCGATAAAATTTTAAGCCAAAGTTGTACACTTATTTCATAGTCATCGTTCCTTAATACGTATGCATATTTACAAATTAATCGACCCGTCTTAAAACAGTTGAATATTATTTTAAAATATTCCGTTACTTAGATAAATAACTGTCTAAATAACTATGTAAATTTGCAATGTAGTGTATTTATTGGAATACAAGTAACCGCATAAAAAAATATATGAAAAAAAATAATATGAGATTATGAAAATCTGAGTTACTTCGTGCCCTTTTTGAACAAGTTAATTTTGCAGGAATGTAGGTTGATTTGAAATTACTACGTTCACCCAGTTGTCTCATGTTCACCCTACTCGGGATAGTCGAGCTTAAGGATGACAAATTATAAAATGAGAAAAGAATTAGTAGGATTAAGGATCGTGTGATCTTAAAACTTATTTGTTTGCTGTGGGTCAATACAATAATCAAACAGCGACACAAAAATAAATAACATACATAAGGGTAGGCAAAGCTCGTTTGGCGATGGTTTTGCGGATAAAAAATTATAATCTCCCTTTCTCATAATTTTCTAAGATAACTAAATAAACCTTTGTGGGATAAATTAAATGTTTCCCGTTTATTATTCTGGATTTGAAAATACAATCGAGAGAGGAGAGAAATGGTTTTAATATTTCATGTTTAATTAATTGAACGCTTACGAAAAGTAATTCGACGAAGATCAAAAAGATTCTATAATTGTTTTTTTAATTCATTTACGAAACGGTACCGACCTAAATTCGCTATAAATGAATAACGCCTACGACACTTTTGGGAGTACCGAGCTATTTATTATACGTGACAAAATCAAATCATTGCCATCACATTGCTTACAACATGAACTTAATAAGTTCTCTCGTTCCAAAGTTATTTAATACATAGATAGACACGTAGCCTATTGACCAACTGTTAGAGAAACGTAAACCTGTCGCGAACATAGCGATTTTATTGACCGTTCGTTGTTTTCGAGCAAGGACGTCGAAGATACAGGTTGACATAGTTTTCGTAAACCTGATAGGCTACTTTGTTATTTAGTTCGTTTTTATATATATTTTTAATGCGCAGTAATTTTTCACGACAAAACAAATATTATTTTTTTTGAAGGCTTTATTCAGGTCGCGATTTTTTTTCTTTTTTACGAAGCGATCACTAAAACAACATTTTCTTTTAAACACAAACCCAACTTTTTTTTAAAACATACTGCTAAAACGCAATAAATTTATCACTGACAGAAAAAAAAAGAATTAAATAAAAGTAATATTATGTAACTAAATTCTGTTATTCTTCTTTTGAAGTGTCGTTTTTGACCGATGGAATTCTAATGACGTCTTGTTTCAAGCTTCAACGTCATTGATTCATTGTGTTCGTTCATTTTATACGCCCGTTTTATGTCGATGACTCGGCTCGAGGCGAAGCTAACTATACGCTTCCTAATTATTGACACGTCAAGTGATAGTCGTGCGAGAGACAAGACATCATTTTGAACTTGCGAATTTAACACGTTGACTGCGTTATGTGGTTTTAAAAGCCCCATTCACGATTGTCCTCTGATGCGGCAGTCATACCCGTGTTCTTTCGCTCGAAACAGGAGAGACTGTGTCCAGATTTCTATGAGTCATATTAAAAAAACGGTCCTTTGTGACGCTTATCATGTCTCATACGCACTGCAAAGAAGTCAGATCTTGCTACAAAAATACCTCAAACGCAATTTGGAAACATTTTCATCGGTTTTATCAAAAAAGCAATTTTCCGTAATAAAGTTTAAAAAAAATAATGAATTGTCGGTTTATGATTCTGAAATTCATCATGGTTGATTTACTAACATAATAATGTACATGAACCTTGTCGATATAATATATTTTCGCAACGCAGCTACAACAACGAATTCCGGCGAA